CCTCTGACCTGAACCCTATAGAAAATGAGTGGGGTGAACTGAAGAGAAGAAGCACCATCATGGAGCTGGTAATCTAAAGGGTCTGGAGAGATTCTGGATGAAGGAATGGTCTCTGGTCTCTTGGCAGGTGTTCTCTAACCTCATCAGGCATTATAGGAGAAAATTTAGAGCTGTTAAACTGGCAAATGGAGGTTTCAAAAAGTATTGAATAAAAGGGTGCCGTTAATTGTGGCCAATGTGTATTAGAGAAAAAAACATTTATTTCATAATGATATTTCCCCCCATTTTAAATTCTTATTATCCAATGAAAGGTTAGATTTTTGTGAATTTTTTAATAAAAGATCAAAAGGATTAACAATGCAGATTAATTTTCACAGCCTTCTTTGATCATATTTACCAAGGGTGCCTATATTTTTGGCCATGACTGTATATAAAATTACTTCACTGTATGGAAAAGTTTTTAGGATCATCACTCCAGTCTTCAGTGTCACACAATTCTTCAGAAATCACTCTAATATGCTGATTTCTTATTATTGATGTTGAATATTTTGTGTAAACCATACCATTCAAAAGTTTGGGGTAAGATAAAAAAAAATACTTTTTTGATCAAAAGTGAGAGTAAAAGCATTTGTAATGTTGCAAAAGATTTCAACTTCAATTAAATGCTATTATCTGATCTTTCTATTGACCTAAGTCAGGTTAGCGCCATGTTTAATTTGAATGAAAAGAAGGCTGTGAGGGATAGAAGTACAGTGCGTTCAATGGACTGTGCTGTTGCTTCACAACATACCGATTGTTCAGCTTATTTTCAGCAGACAAAAACCACATAAAACAGTTTTGAAAGGTGTGATCTAGGAGCTTTATACAGTGTGTTCCATTTTAGAGACTGTACGTCTATCCCTCACAGCCTTGTTTCATTATATTAAACATGGCGTCTAACCTGACAAAGATCCTGACAGTTTCCACAGAAATATTAAGCAGCAACTGTTTTCAACATTGATAATAATAAGAAAAGTTTCTTGAGCAGCAAGTCAGCATATTAGAATGATTTCTGAAGGTTCGTGTGACACTGAAGACTGGAGAAATTATGCTGAAAATTCAGTTTTGCTATCAGGATTAATAAAAAAAAAAAAAAAAACATATTCAAATAGAAAGCTGTTATTTTAAATTGTAAAAAATCCAAATTTTTACTGTGATTTTGATCAAATAAAATGAGTGAGCAAATTAATGAGCCTTGGTGAGCATACTAAACTCCTTTCAAAAACTTCCAACCCCAAACTTTTGAATGATAGTGTATACATAAAGCACTTCAATAGCAAAGAGACTGAAGCACAGAGATAATGAGTGTCTTTCACACACCGGACTTCAGAGCTCATCTATTGTCTTCTCAACTGTTGCTTCAGGAGATCTTTTGTTTACTCAGCCTCTCCCTTTATCCTCTGAATAACTACAACAGCAGCCCTAACTACATACCAGTACATACCAGTCTCCTGGGAGGACACTGTATGCCCCTTCTGGACAGGATGTTTGGAAGACCTGATTGGGATTATTGCAGATAATGTCATCTATGTTGAGATCTGAGCTTCTAATAATAACAAACAATAAGAAGTGAAATTTTTTTTTAATCTGATCTGACCCTTAACAATTAGTTTTTTGGAGTTACCTAATAGTTTCAGCCAGTCATGTTCATTACATTTTATGTAAATGTAATGTTGTTTTTTTTACTGTAATAAAACCCAGTTAATTTAAATTAAGAGTAATAAACACATTTTCTATGCTAAACTACTATTATAGCCATTTTTGTATTTTAATCAATAGTTTAGTTTTCCAGTAATACGTTTTATAATGGCTTTCCAAAATCCAAGGTTTTTTACAAAGTTAGATTAAATAAATACAATATCTGAGATTTCTTAGATTTAGATTTAAATATGTATTTTGGTTTATATAATACATTTACTTGAGAAGCAAAAATAAACTTTTGTTAGATTTATGCTGACATTTCTGGAAAT